TTAACTAATGGACTATCATCTCAACTTACACATGCACCCCAATACAGTTTCTGATATTATTTTCATTTGCCTTTATTGGCTATATGTACTCTATTATTCATGGATTTATAACTGTAGAGCTTTCATCTTTCTTCTAGACAGTATCTACAACGAAAACCGCATGAATGAAATATCCGGATTTTCCCAGTGACTTCGGCTGTGATTGGTAAATTATTCGGAAAGTTTGACACTAATTTAAGTGAAGCATGGAATCGTAACTATCTTTAAATACTAAGAGTGGAGTATCCTTTTGAATTTCAAACCTAAAATATGACCAGTCATGTACGAAAACTCTTCAGTAGCAATTACAGAAGTTCTTCTTAATATACGCAAATTGATCATTGACAGTTGTTAACAGAACAAAACTGAAATTCACAATTTATTCAATTCTCAACTTGTAATTTACACAGTTCGAGGTGAAATTGCACCACAGTTTCGTTTGGAAACCAAAATTATTCAGATCACAGTGTGTGTTCTGCTTGTTACCATAAATAGCAATCTTGATTGCCACTTAATTACAAGATGGTTATTTCCTTCGTTTTGGACTGAGCCATTCCAGCGTTCAGATCGCTTCGATCTGGCTAGTAAGCACTACTGATAGGTGTGAGTGATATCCAACTACTCATATCAACCAATCAGTAGTATATAGCGTCATTGATAATTTATGTTACTCACTTTTCCGGGAATTTTGTGAGAATAAAGGAATATGGTTTCTTAAATATCCTCTATCGCATTAATCTACACAATGGTGTAGTTGTAGAGAAAGAAATTTTCAGTTCAAATAGTTTTTTGATCATCCGTTAGAAAAAGAGTTTATTAAACAATTGTGAAAGAGATTTCATAGAATATCTCATTCTATCCACCATCCCACATACTTCTTCTTCATGGTTGTCTTCATCAAGAGGTCTTCAGAATAGACTGAGTTTCACATTAACTGTTGTTACTGAATGTCAGTTGTTCAGGGAACCAAGAGTTCAGTGAAGATTATATTTGATGTCTAAATCCTTTATAATCTGAATAGTATACTGATAAATTCTCTGACTTTGGAATTGAAGGGCGGGGGGGGGGGAAGGGAGAAGTATAACACATGGATCTTCAAGACTATCGATACGTCTTGTTGATAACTCTTAATAATTACCAAAATGCAGGTGAAATTTCTCATTCTAGGCTGTATAATTAATATGATCAGTGATAAATGAGATTAAGAACAGAGCGTTAGGTAATATAGTGGAAAGTCAGTTGATGAGGTTGTGAAGCTGCATTGACTAAAATGGCTGAGATATGCATTACTCATGTAGAGCCAGCTCCATTCTTGAACAGCAGTATTAGGTGAGATATGACTAGGTTGGAGAACACTTATGGATGGTTAAACTAAAATGTGGAATCACTCTATGAGGTCATTGACTGTTAGTTTGAGTTACTTAGAGGTGAGGTGGGGTTGTAGACTGCCTGGCTCGGATACTTAAGATATTAAGAATCAATGGTTGGAGACTGCTGGTGATATGGCTCAAAATCATTCTCAATAGCTCAGGTGTATTCACTTTTTGTGATATTCCAGATTCTGAAAATCCTCATCATTCTTCAAGTAAACACTCTTCCTCATGTAAGCTTTCACGTATTATAATTTTGTTGCATTTCTTTTCCTATCTTATGTGAACAAAATGAACTGCTTCACTTCTATGCAAAGTTCTATATAGATAATTTAGCTAGTCATTTTGAATTCTGTCTATTGATTTTTAAATTTCAACATACCGGTGTAACGGCAGAAGATAAGAGAAGTGGGAACAGACTTTTTTATTAAGGAAAACACATGATATTTATAGAAATTTAACCACCTTAGAAGTCGGCTAGGTCAGAGGACAATAAATTATTCTGATTGGTTGACGGTTGTTCCAAGGTTGAACAATGAGACGAAAAGTTATCCAACGAGGTTACTTCATGTTCACATTGTAAACTAGATGCATATTCGAGGAATATACACTTCTACCTCTGCAGCTATTGACTTAAAATGTTGATTTCAGTTTTGGCTTCTTCCCATCAATATATATACATCTATATACTACTTATGAACTGTGTCAGTAGCAAACGCCAATGAAATACAGTTGTAAAGTCGTATTTATATTTTCTAAACCATAAAGCAGTCTGTTGTTGTGATACAGTCACTCCGGTGGTTTCTTGAAACAGAGAAACTGTTACAACTGTGAAACTAATATGTATACTTTATAATTGTGATGTAACCGTATTTCTTTCTTCTGTATTGTAGATATGCACCAAGTGGACATAATGGACTAATTATCAGACAATGTAGAAAAATTGAACGTAAGTGATTAAACAGTGAACTTGGACCTTGAACCTGAACGCCTAAATCTGTATCTCTTGTTGTTATAATAAGATACTTTTTGCATCACTTTCGGGCTTCGTGTTCTTCCTCGTGTGCTTCAGTGTGTCGTGTCAGTTGGTCGGTCTTTGTGGGCTCTTTCTTTCTTTTCAGGTGAAGCTGCTCTCCAATTCCAGTCGTCTATACGAAAGACTATGTGATAACCGACTAATAATGATAGAGGTGAGGGTTTGAAATTTGATAGACGATCCACACTACTGAGAGTTTTCATATATGTATGAGATACGTGGATGATACATTCATCGTATGTGATAAAGATGTAGACGTCAAAGTGACAATGAAGAAGTTTAATGACTGCCATCATTTGACCAATTTCACATCAGAATCCAAGATCAACTTAGAATTTCATTTCTTGGATATTTTATGAAAAGGAGATGTCAGTCTTGGTGAACACTGAATGAGCAACAAACGGTTTATTTATTCAAAACGGATCTCTATTTCGGCAGGAGGTAACAATGGCGGCTGTGACCTAATCATACGCCGTTTGGTAGAAGACTTCAGAAGAACGATGATGTTTATTCATAGGCGTTGTGCTGTAGTAACCCTGTAGTCTTGGTTCATTGTCGGTGAAGAAATAAACAGTTCTTGAAACGCTAATCTTTTTCTGATATTTTTGGGCTGTTTACTGCACATAGTATTCTGAGGCAGCGATTAGTTTTCTGGCAGCAGCGCTAGGTTCAGGATATTTTCCGATTTGGAAAACTGACAGGAAGTCTGATGGTTCCCTTCAGAGATCAATCTACAGGAGCCAACACAGAATGGCCAACGTACGAATTATTATGGCCGAACTTTTTTGAACAGAAAGGGGAATCTCATACTTTCCTTATCTTCAAGAATGAAAAGAATCTGCATAGATGAACTGGAGGAACTCTAACAAGTCCTCGTAAAAAAGTAGAAACACCACAAGATTCATCAATAAAAACTTGAGACTGAAACAACAGTTTGAAAGAATCTATACAGGTTTGAAGGAATAGTTGTTTAAAAACGTTGATTTTAAAGGTGATACTGAGGTCGAGATTCTGAAGAATCGCCTGTCCAGGTCGTTGAGAAAAGCATTTTTTTCAGCTGAGTAACGAATCAGTTTTTCCAGTCGGTGAATGATCAATGATACATGAAGGACAAACTGCCGCTATGAGCCACATTAATGTGTGTCCGCAAATTCACTTGCTGCTTATATCGACCTTATATCGCCTCACTTCCCAAACGCATCTCAGATCCCTATCCACCATGGTTATCAGAGTGACAATGTAAACCAGTCATTAGCTTAATTCTCAAGCAACTAGTAAATTCAGGTCATACGGCTCCATTAGATTCCTGTTTTAAAATTGTCTATACAGTAAGACTGGACGGTGCAAGGGATGTTAAGCTTCGGGCCTTGTGTATCGTGGAGACGCTAGCGGTTTGCTAACTCAACTCTGAACTATGTGTGTACAGAAAAAGTTTGTTCAGTACCCCATTCTACCAGGGTCTTAAACTCATTCCTACTGGTTAGCTTTTATTTTTAATAAGTACTGCACTATTATCCCTAGTACATGTTTCTTTTGTAGGCTTTAATAGTCAATAATTGTTTTGATTCTTTTCACACTTGTTAAGTGGGCATTCAGTTAGCTTACTTACTTCTCATTTACTAATGCTTTTCACTTTATTAGATTTCAAAGCTCACTTCGACTGTCGTCGTTGGCTATTATGTAAACCTTTTGCATTTTGAGAAACCACTCCTGAGTAACTGTATCAATGATGTCACATTCCCTATTACTCAATAACAGACTACTAAATGACTCAGTTAAATATAAATATTATTAAAAAGACTCTGAAAATAATTTCGCTGGTAAAAAACTTTCTTCACTGAATTGTCTTTTATTTTCTTCATGACTTATTGGGTTTATTAAGATTAGCCAATTATAATGGAGTTATTTATTACCAGGCTATAATTTGTTGTTCGAGAGCATATTTAACTTCTGTTGACAGGTGGAAAAATGTTATCATCAACTGAAAGCTTTGCTCAGGTTACATTTCTTCACTCTTGGTACTTTATTCTTATAATTTATTATCAACCTTAGGCAATTTGACCCATTTTCTTCAGAGATTCTAAATTCATTTTAGTCAAAGCTTTCATTACAGTCGGAAAAAGTGAATTATTTAAATTATGAATAGATTAAATACAGTAGTTGATCAACTAGTTAGTGTATGTAGCGCTACTGCCCACCAGTTCGTCTATACACCGATCTTCATGAACTCCCCCCCCCCCCACCTAGTTAGAATTCCTGGGCCACTGGATTCCATCCTAGTCTAATCTCTGAATAGTAACGTGGACTTCTGGTAACCTACAACTTCTGATTTCAATCCCCAGTGAAGTCATAGGTGGGTACTGATGAAGAGCCTCAAACTAAGACGAAACGGCTATCCAGTACTCGCTAGATTTCAATAAATCTCTAATTGATATCACTTGGTGATCTAACTTCCTAAAACCAGATTAATCTGTGCAAATTAACACTTGGAAACAATAAAATTTCAATTTAAATATAATAGTTTTCTTTCTCAAAAAAGAAAAAAAGAAATTCAATTGAAACGTGAACATTTATTTCGTATTTGCCGCATTGAAATTTGAACGGCAACGTAATTCATTCAAACAAAACAAATTGATTCAGTTAATATTTTTTAAATGAATATATATATATATATTCAAAGTTTGTCTATTTCATGAGGCAATAATCATAATAGTAACAAGGTCAGCAACAATGAACAGTAAGGGAGATTCAGTTATGAATTATTTATTCATATAGGTGGAACGTTTATAATCGGCGAGTATAGCACGTCGTTTATAATCAGCTAAAACACGTTTAACAAGTTGTAATGAATTCATATTGTTGTAGTCATTTGTCAAGATAGAAGGCTGATTCATTTCTTTTAATTGATTTCTTCGTAAATAACCATAATGATTTTTTAAATTCATATTTTTATTATCGTTATTATTATCAGATAATAATTGACCAGTTTTGAAATATCTCAATTCCAGTGGATTGACTAGTATGGATGGTGAATTCATGTTTGACGAAGATGATGTTTCATCATTTGATGGAGTTAAAAATGGGTTGAAGTTATGATAAGCTTCAGCATTTGATTCTATGTTTGGTAACAATTCTGAGTGTGTTATAGTGACCTATAAACATATAAGAAAAGGGAAATAAACCAACAGATGAACAAAGTATCAGTTTTAATGAGATTTTAGAGAAAAGACTAACAGCTTAGAGTCAGGATGGATGGGTGTAATATTCTTCACTAGAGGTCTGTTCAAATCATTTCATATTGTTTTAATCATCCATTTACTTCCTTGAATCACAATCTGCAATCTCATGAATTTTTAAACGGCCTTCGATAGACTACCGTTTTTTGCAGGAGCAACGTTATGCTGGGTTGGAGCGTGTTTCGGACGAAACAGTATGGCGACAAGTCATATGTATTCTCTTCAAGTATTAGTTTGTAGGGATTTGATTGGTTACAAGTTTGATCACAGATTGGTATTAGTTATAGAACTATGGAAAACTTGGGAGTACTGGAGAGCTATTTCGCCCTAGTTTTGGGACTCAATCCGTGATCATAATTGAAGCCAATCAAATTCCTACAAACTAACACTTGAAAATTAATCTGATGCCCACTAGTGACTGACTACAGGACGAAGTTACCTGGAGTTCTAGTGAGGAGTTATCATCAGCTGTACAATATACTGTCTGTTATTATTTTACTTAAAGATCCTATACTGAGTATAGATTTTGTAATATAACTCACTGAGAATTCCGTTCTGTGTATAAACATATTGTACAAAAAGAAATTATTATTAGTATTTCATTTTCTCCGTTATTTGGTTGGTTGTTATATCCTTTGTACTGTACAATCCAGTGTAAAGTATTGTAGTAAGTTATGACTTGAGTAGGTCAACAGGATGGCCGGAATACGTATATCATATACATCTACACAAATAAAATAAATGTAGGAGTATTACTTGTTTGGTGGTGGGTAGCGCAGCATTTCAGAAGATACATTTCGTCCTATATGGGACTCATCAACTGGATGTAACTGTCAGTGAATGATGGGATTCCCTTCGAGGCTCAAACCCAGCACAAAGGCTGAGTATTTCGATCCAGTATATCAATCAACAAGAAATTCAAAATAACTTCGACAGATACAGAGGTACTGAACGACTTAAATCAGTGGTCGCATTACTCTATTGACTGATAGATTACGGACTAAACAACCGCACTGATTATCATTCGACGAAAAATTCAAATATATAATTCATTTCTATTGTGTATTCGTAGTTCAGTGGTGGGATTCATACCAACCACGCATGTGGTCCATAGTCGGCTCCACGTCGACACACATGAACCTCTCCTGACGGGTAGTAAGCCTGGAAAAGAGGGAAGGTTGGGCGTGAGGCTAGCCCTCCCCCCGTCGTAAAAACAACACTAGCGCTACTGAAACTTCAAATTTCAAACTTGAAGTCCTATGTTCCACTTGGATTGCAAAGAAAGATAAAAATTCATTCCTACAGGTGGTGAAAGTCGCGAGCTAAATAACTGAGTAATAACATTTCTGACTGCATTATTTATTGAAACTAGATCTTATCAATATTTTAATGACACCTTCAATCGGTTTGAAGATTTTTCCATCTTTGAAAAAAAATAGACAATATTCTCTTAAAAAAAGTCTGTACATTAATATAAAAGCGAGTGAATTTTCTAAGGTTGTTAACTTTTTACTGCTAAGAATCCAGTTCAACAGTTTTAATCTACATGAATATATGACATTATGCATTATGGAATAGAATCTAGAAGATACGGGTTCATTGAAATGGTAAAATTGAGTTGTTCTTTGAGAATGAATGTTAACAATTAAGTAATTTTAGTTGTTGGTAGTATTATTTTGAATTTTCCTTTGACTGTTTTTATTTGATATAAATTATAGCTGTGTTGGCTTTGAGAACGCTAGCAAACACTCGCCCAATCCACGGCTTGAATTGCTTTGTAACAGATAAAAAGCCTATCATCGGACAGACGTGGCCACAGGATATCTCGTAGTCTCAGTTTGTACTCAAGATATGGATGCTTAAAGCAGAATGCAGTTCAGATTAATTCACATGGTTGATTGCACATTACATCGACACACCAGCCGAGTGATCCACTCAAAGTTGTACGCCTACATTCTTACACACTGATTTCCAAGATATGTAGAATTAAATGTTAAACGCAGCAACCCGGATGCAATCCTGCCAAGTCAGTGTACATTTAGTCTCATGCAGGATAGCAAAACTGTGAATGGCAAGACCAACCAGATCTCTTAAACAGTGCAAAAGAAAAGGAGGGTGGGAGATAAACATTATTAGGGAGGAGTGCATGCATATAGCGCACGACCATCGGGTTACTGTGATGTTATTTGGCTGATGGTGGCTATAAGTGAAATCCAGAAGGCATGTTTCGTTCCATTTAAGACTTGTCATCTAGATTTTGGTACTAAAAGCCGACAGAAAAATACAGACCCAGCCAGTTGGTTCAGTGAAATCAGCCGGTGACAAATTAAATAATTATGAATTGAAAAATTCCTCTTTTCACATAGATTTATTGAACAACAAGCCGTAATAAAATACTGATGCATATTTGTAATATTCAAATGACCTGAAGTCAGAACCGTAAATTGGTTATTCTGCTTCTGAAATATGTCATAACTTTATAATGATTAAACATGAAAAAGTTATTAAAAAGCGTAGTTCAGGTGAAATCTCTTTTGACTACTTTCAAAGGCTTTTAATTTCCTGTCTAAGTTATAATTTACATCGAGGGGAAATTGTTGTAAAGTTTTGTACGGCGGACGTTCCAGTATTGTACTAGACATTCTAATCAGTGCATACTGGCAAGAAATTTACAATCATGATGATGATGTTTAGCGAAACCATGAAATGTTCCACAATCAACACTTCGTTCAGTAATGTTTGAAGATATAAGTGTTGATTTTTTACTCCGTCACAAAGTGTCGATGTATGGTAGCAGACTTAATATAAATAAATGTTTATGAAAATGATTCATTTTTGAAAGTGAAAATTTCTCTATACATTCGGTTCCCTTGATAAATTTCGATAAAGAAATTAAGACGAAATTTGCAGTATACAGTGATATCATTCTTTTTCGCAGGTTCTTATCAGCTACACACTACCTGAAATTACAATGGTTATATAAATGATAATAACATACTTTAGTGTTTGAGTGGTTGTAGAGAAGAGGTATTAAATTGACAAAGGACAGCAAATTTACTATGATTTGCCGAAGCGATAGCAATCAAACGATTTGAACCAGACTTATGCATACAGAAAGAGAGTGTGATTAACCTCTCACTCCCTTGGTAACTGAATTATTATTTTGATTACATTAATTAGTCATCTAATTCAGTGGTCTCAACTCACTGAACAAATCTTAATCTCATAAACTGTAACCGCTTTTGTTTTTCGAGTTACTATGTGAACCTACACGCTAACACTGTTTATGTTAATCAATTTTTCTGTTTTTTGTCTTACCCCTCCGCCCTCCTTTCAACTTTAAAAGCGTATAAATCGATGATAAAAATTGTAATGCTTTCATTTTGGTTGCGTCAGTTTTATAGTATCTCTTCTCTACTACCACTCAAACATTAAAGTATGTTATTATCATCTATATAACCATTGTAATTTCAGGTAGTCTACAGCTGATGAGAACCTGTGAAATAGAATGATATAATTTTATACTGAAAATTTCTCTAGTTTATTGTCCACTAATAATCTGCTATGGTGTCATGAACCTGTGTTTATTTTAGTTAGTACTTTAGAAAAGCTTTATAATTTGGATGGGAAAATAGTTGAAAAACTTCTTGTTACGCTTATGGGAATTCAACTGATACCAAATTGAATATTTTAGCAAATTAATATTAAATATTCTACAACTGGAAATTGCGAAGTACAGAATTGTTGTTTCATTGAATAGGAGGCCTTCAACAACCTACAGAGAAGATTTAGATAGGCATCATTTTAAAGAAGTTGGAATTCCATCTGAGTGGCTGACTGGTTGACCAGCTCACCTCTCAACTCCAAGGTCCAGGGTGAAGACTGTGAAACTAGGATGAAAAACAGTCTATTATTCCCTGATTTCAATGGTTCTTTAACTGATAGGTTCGTGATCTAACCTAAGATGAATTCTCTTCAAATGAATTTTAACAAAAAAAAAACAAGTATCAGTTGTTAGATTTTCATCATGAACCAACGCCAGTTAGAGATATTATTCAAAGCCAGAGGGCACCATACAGCTGTTTCCAGTAGTACTCAACCACGACCGCATCATGGATTGAACTAGGGACCTTCAGGTTACGAGACCAAACTCATTAACTACTCAACCACTTGGACCAGCATTCAGTGATCTGTGAATTCTGACTTTGTCAATTTGCGATATAGCCAATGTCATCAACGAACGTCTACTTCACATTGACATGATGGACCTGACTAGTCACAGCTTCCCACTGCAGCTTTGGTAAATCCATCCGGTAGCTATCAGTGAGTTGGAGATTATATCTAAGATTGTGGGGATTTTTGGATTATGCAAGTATTGGTTTGGAGGGATTTGGTTGATTGGTTACAGAATTTCATCATGAGCTGACATTGGTTAGAGAACTATTGGAAAACTTGGGAGTACCGGACAACTGTTTCGTCCTAGTTTGGGACTCCTCATCAGTACGCAACCACTACAGGAGGTTCGAACTCAGGACCTTTTGGTTACAAGGTCAGCTAGCTCGTAGACCATTAAGCCACTGGGACCCAATCCAATGGCCAACCCATGAATTCTAACTTCTACCAATTCACGATATCGCGCAACCGCTAGCCACTGCCTTTGGCGAGTATTTGTCCTCACACCCGACCTGCTGCACCCTACTGGTCACGACTTCCCAATTTCAACTGTTTGATTTTCATCACGAACCAGTATCAAAGCTAGGATCCACTGGTCATTGAATTCAAGGCCAAGCGGCTGAATGGTCAACGGTCTTAGTCTTGTAACCTGGAGATGCTGGGTTCAATCTCTGATGGCAAGGTGAGTGAACACTATTGAAGAGTCCTAAACTAGAAGGAAACAGCTGTCCAGTGCTCCCTAG